GAGCCCAACAGGAATGGCTGGTATTTTGCATGTGTGCCCATGGAGGTTAACAAGGCTCCCCAGAGGAGCAGATGTGGGGTGCCACCGACAAGTTATGGGCTGGGCAAGAGGAGGGGATGCCTGTGCTGAGGCTGGCACAGGGTTGCCCTTCCAGCACAGCACAATGTGAGTGGGAAGAAAGGGAAGCAGAGCAGAGCAAAGATCTTAATCACAGTGCCTTTCCGATGGTACCGTATCTGGTGCCTGTACAGTGTGGCCTTTTGGCTTACTGCACACAAAAAAAGATGAAATACCAGTCATCTGGAGAAAGGAGAGGAGGGGAAATAGCATGGGAAGGGGAATCTCCAGGAGTGGGAAACATTTCTGCTGGGAGGAGTGAAGCAAGAGGAGTGGATCTTCAGTTGCCAGGCAGGGAAGTGCCGTTTGCACAAAATCAGCGTCGAGACTGGCACTAACTCTCCCTCTTGTGGGCATTCCCCTCTGTCTTGTGTAGAGTGTGGTATCTGCAGGTGCTGCCAGCAGCCTTGAACCTCTGATGGCTTCACTGTAATGAGATGGTTCGTAATAACTCCTGTATTAAATATCCATGTGAATTAGGCCAAGGGGATGGGCTGATCGGCAGAGCTGGCATCTGGAATGTCCTGGCATCAGACTCATCACTCAGCAGATGAGAGGCACATCTATGTCTGTAAAGTGAAACACCCAAAAGCAGGACCCATGACAAGGGAGCAGATACTGAATAAATTACTTGCCATGTTCACTCCTCACAGGTCATACCGGCCAGGACTTCACTTTCCTGCTCTCCTCTCACTTTACTCAAGTTGGTCTTTTTATTTTATTTAATAACTCAAACAAATCAAAGCTTGCCCATGTTCCCACCTGCATTTCCATCTGAAACCAGACCCCAAAGACTCCCTCTTGGCCCAGGCTATGCTCAGTGGGTGAGATGTTTGTAATACATGGGGTTTTTTCACACAAAAGGTTTACCTGCTTTGTCTGGTCTATCTGCAGTCCCCTTTCTTCTTCTGACTTTTTTATCTGTGGCCACACTTTTGTCCTTGCCTGTTTTTATTTTATGACTTGGACCATCCCTGCCCCAATAAACAGGTGAGGCTGGGGCTATCTTGCTGTGGGGGCCAATGTACCTCTCTCAGCTACATCAGTTGCAGGTCTGGAAGAGCAACAGATAAATTCTGGCCTTTTGCTCAGGAGGATAATAAATACTGTGTAGTTTGGCCCTTGCTGTAAACCCACAGATAAGTCAAAAAATTAGCACTGAAATCCAGAGAAGGAGCATGGATTCATTTAGAGCAAAGAGTCACCACGTGGAATGAGATCTCTGCTGAAGTTGATGGGGAAGGAAATAAAAGGACCACAGGCTAAGATAAGCAATTTCCAGAACAGATGCTGTCACAGAGCAGCTGGATCCAACCAGCTGAGCCACCAGCACTGGACCCCTTAGCAGGAGGAGGAAGATCGAAAAATAAAACCATGTTGTTTGAGTAACTTGCAATTAAAAAGTCACCAGAGGTGGGAGCCTTGCATGTACAGAGATCTCTGATGGTAATGGAACTTCCTTTTTTTTTTTTTTTTTCCCCTCCCCAATGAGCATGCCTTAAAGTTGTTTGTGAGTGGTTAGAAAGTGATTATCAGATTTTTGCCTTTGTGCATTGCCTAATCTGTTGCAGAGTCACCAAGTCAGAAGGCTGTTTTAAACAGTTTGACCTAGTAAGGCTGCAGCCGCATCTGAAATATATTTTGAGGAGCACGTATAAGAGGATTAACAAAAATTATGAAGAATTCTGCCTACGGTTGTTGAATGCAAGCATGCAAATATAACCTTGGGAAGTCCTTTAGCCTCAAGTTTCTTCATGGGAGTAGAATTGTTCCTGCTTCTTACAGTTTCCTTGGGCATCTGCCACTAGTGCTGTTGGAAGAAGAGGCTGGATGAGCTTCTGTCTGTCCGTGGATCCTGTGTATGTAAGGTGAGCTTTCCGAGGGTGACCAGCCTGGGTCATCTGTATATGCAACCCTAGACCCCAAAGAGCTGAGAGGGCTAGCCAGGCTGAGCATGTGGCAGGAATGCTACATTACACTTGTACCATGGGACCATGAAATCTCCCAGTACTTGGGGTTTTTTGTGCCAGTACCTTGCAGTCAGCAGCAAGTCCCACCACTGTGGTTGTCTTGCCAGCAGGACCCTAAAGGGGAGAAGACAAAAGATCTGGTTGCAAGCAAAGCACTGAAAATAACAGAGAAGAGATACAAAACAGAGATGCCATGTGTAATTCAGTGTAAATGCTCTGCTCAGGCAGCCAAGCCCCCAGCACTGTGTTTAGGGTGCTCACTGCTGCCCGGTGTTGATCTGCTTGAAGAAAACACTGATTTTTTGCCAAGGCATCTGTTTACTTGCAGGAATTCCCCAGAAGACTAGCAGTGCACAGAAAGCCCTACTGGATTAGGGGCTGCTTAAACTGGTGCTGCTTCTCAGAAGAGAAAAAGTCCTGATTGTTCCTCTCCTCCCTAAGGGAGCACTTGGCGTTGGAATGATAATGCAAAATGAGACCTTGAACTTTGAAAAGGGCCAACTGCAGCTGGAAGCAAGAACCTGCTGGAGCTCATTAAAAGGCAAGTGTAAACATCAATATAAATGAGGGGTAGATCTTGGCTTCCCCACAGGCTCTTATCTCGCAGAGGCTCTGTGCTTTGTGGATGAGAGGCTGTTTTGCAGGCAAAGGGAATAAAAATGTGTCTGTTTTCTCACTTTTCATCCCATGAAACTCAGGCAAAGGGAAACCCTAATCTGTATGTGCTGTTCCACTAGTTAGACAGTGCTGCCTGGGGTTCTGGAGGATGGCTCGATGGGTGTTTCTTTCACAAGCGATGCCTGCATAAGTAGCTCCGCATCCTCCTACTCCCCCTTCCAGCATGTGTTGGTCCAGCTGTGTGGCAAACCAGACTGTAGAACTTATCTGGCTTCAAAATAAACTTTCCAGAAGATAAATACAGTTACTTTAAACTCATACCAGTTCCTTGATCCAGTTAATTTCAAGCCCTCATAAAGGGCTGCACAGGCTTTGTGGGGTGGAGGATTCTCTGCTGGCATTGCCTCCAAATCCAACCTAAAACATGCACAGCCTCATATTAAGTGCTGGTACCTTTAGGGCCATTGCCTGCCCATGGGGCCTGAGAAGGCAATTTCTGGCTGTATCACCCAGTTTTACCATGTAGGGAGGGACTCTCACACTCTTTTTTGGGAATCTGAGCTGTGCATTGTGTGTTGAGGCCTGGTTAACTCCTCTTCCTCAAGTTGCAGCTCAGATAGGAATAATTATTCAATGTTGAGTTGACCTTATTGCAGTTACAACTTCCTCATGAGGGGAAGAGGAGGGGCAGGCACTGATCTCTTCTCTGTGGTGACCAGTGACATGACCTGAGGGAATGGCCTGAAGTTGTATCAGGGGAGGTTTAGGTTGGATATTAAAAAGAGGTTCTTCACCCAGAGCGTGGCTGGGCACTGGAACAGGCTCCCCAGGGAAGTGGTCACAGCACCAAACCTGACAGAATTCAAGAAGTGTTTGGATGATACTCTTGGGCACATGGTGTGACTCTTGGGGATGGTCCTGTGCAGGGCCAAGAGTTGGACTCGATGATCCTTGTGAATCCCTTCCAACTTAGCATATTTTGCTATTCTGTGAGTTTAAACAGCAGTCAGACACTTCTGGCTCCCTGCAAGCTTTGGGCATGAGTGTTGGTGTGTCCCAAGGAAGGGTGGTTTGCAAAAAGAGTGCTTGTTTGCACAGTGGCTCTGCCTTGTCACTGCTGATGTTGCTCTTGCTTTGGTCTTAGCCATGCTGCAATTGCTGCTGCCTTTGCAGGCATGTGAACACCTCTCCAGCAGCACTCAGCCATGGCCAAAGTGCACCCCACACTCCTACACGGCAAGGCACCTTGCAAGGCACCACCCGTATTCCCAAGGCACTGGGAAGAGGGGGATGAGGACACTCTCTGGCATAAAGCACGGTGTGGGAACAGCCACCCCTTCCAGTTGCCTGGATTTCAGTCGACCTGTTCATGAAATCCCAACCTCAGCCATGCTTCAAGAGTCTCTGTTACACCCTCCTGTGGGCAGCTCTGAGCTGCAGAGCTCCAGGGTGGCAGGCAGTGCATGTTTGGGCATGCAGGCTCATTGCTTGGCTCTTTTTGCCCATATGCATTTTTGTGGCCCTTGCCTTTCTCAGTTGTCCTTCAGCAGGCTCTAGTTACAGTATTTTATTCGTGATGAGGGAGGAATTCCTCTCTTGCTTTAGTACTTCAGTAAGTAGTACACAAATCCCTGAGTGCCATTATGGTGTTATGAGGTCTAATCCACCTGAAGGGACTACTGCATGCCACATTTCCCACTGACTCCTAAAGACCTCTGAGATCTCGCTGCTATCATCCATGTTCTTACCTCTAAACAGTAGTTTCCTCCTTTTGCTCCTACGTGGGCGAGACTTAAAAATCTGCCTGTTCTCTAATCATACTCTTCCTTCCTTTAACTGCTCTCAGTTTCCCACACAGAAACCTCAGTCCTTTTGTGCTCTGCTTTCCCAGTCCTCCAGAGAAGGTTTACATCCTCAGAGAGAGCTTGTGTGCCTCAGAGACAGCCTCAGTTTCTATATTGTAGCCTAAATATTCTTGTCCTGGATTGCCCTGCTGCTTTCCCACATGTTCTGCCACTGAATCCAAGCACTGGTCTGCAATAAGAGTCCTAGCTAAATGTTTTGTCCAGGTGCTGTGCAGTGTCATATTCACTGTAAGATGCCTCAGTGATTGCACAGAAGTTGGGGGTCATGCCTGTGTTACATCTGATAGTCACCAAAGGCTGGATCCTGTGAGCACTGAAGCCTTTATGTCACAGGGCATGATCCCCGAAAGAATCCATGCCAAGATACTGGTAAGTACACAGCATAGCTCTGCAAACTCACGCCCCAAATCTTGTCCTGATGCTGAAATCTTCTCCTCCTAATCCTTCTTTTTCTTTTTAAACAAGCAGGTTGGGTCACCTCTCAGCTGTAGAAATGCATCAGTGTGCGGGAGCCCTGCCTGGAGGCACTGCTAAGAATAGTGCCTAAGAGCGAGGGGAAGAGAGGAGTGAGCCTGATTTGGCCACTGCCATCATCAGTTAGACTCCACCTCATTTCCTACAAGCAGTAGAGGCTATGCAATGAACATAATTTCAGATGGTGCTCTTACTTGACAGTCTTCAGATCCTCTGAATACCAAAGTCAATGGCACAGCTGCAGAAAACTCAATGCTGCTGCCCTGCTATGGCTGTAAGATCCCATTACTATATCCCTTACCTCTCCAGCTAAAGCTGCTGTGAGTACAGGGGTCTCACCTGTCTGTCTGCATGGAGTGAGCTGCAGGCTCCTGAAACAAAGAGCAAATGAATCTCTTAGGAGCAGCCGTGTTTCAGCAAACTGCCATAGAAACCACAGCTGCGTTATGGAGGGCCTTTTCCCTGGCATTATGCAATAGGTAATTATGTAAGTTGTTGTTATATAATATTCCTGGTTTTTTTGGAGTGCCAGCCTCCCCCTGACCACAGTAGTGTGTACTACTTGCGTCATACCATGCTTTATACAACCCAGGATCATAGCAGAGCTGGAGCTGCTGTCACTGCTGCTTCCAGCCATGGGACTCTTGGCTACTCTCAGGGCTTTTAAAAAATTGTATCGTGGGGGAAAAAGCTCATTGCAAAGAAAAAATCTTTGATGAAAATATGTGTTTTTCCCTCTGAGACGTTTTGCTGTGTACGCACACAAGATGGCTTGGCTCGCTTCTTGAGGAAGAACTGGGTTTTAGAGCAGAGCTTGATATTTGTTCTCTTCAACACCAAGGCAATGTGGGGGACTGCTGGGCTCTCTGATATTCACTTTACAGTTTGGGGTTGGATTTCTCTATTCATAACAGCAATACTCTCAGAAAAAAATGGAATGTGGCCAAGCAGACTTGGATCTGGTCCATCCTTGTGGCTGGTATGTGATTCCTCTGTGCTCCTCAGCTCCACTTGGGCGGCTGAGCCCCATAGTAATAACCACCAAGCAGCTGGTTTTCTAAAACCATACCCAAAGGCCAGTCCCTGCTCTTTCACTGGGGTGTCTGTGGGCTCAAGCAAGTCATAAAACTTCTTTGATCACTCACAAATGGGGAGAACAAGTGGCTTTTCCATCCGCAGGATTGGGGCATGGTCTAAATTCATTATTACCTGTAGAAAGGTTGGCCGTATGTGGAGGGAGGAGCAAGGCAGAAGTGAGATTGAACCCACTGTTTTTCCAGAGATGGCTCTTGTCCTACCTGCTGCACTTGTTACAAGGGGGGACCTTTCCAAAGCATCTTTTGGGAACATTTTTGGGTAGAAACAAGCCCCACAAAGTCTCTAGAACAGCCTTTCTCCTCCACAGTACCTCGAGTCTTGGCTCTGGCTCTGCTGCTGTCATATGGGATCTTCTTCTGCCCCGATGTCACCACCCCAGACTTCTCCAGTATTAAGGCTGGGAGGTAAAGGAGGGAGGCACAACATCCCAAGTGACCAGGTAATGCAACGTTTCTACATCCCACACCGAAAATGAGCCCCTTACAGAAGTTCTGCATCCGACCGCAGCCGCAGCCCGGTGGCGCTGCCGACGGGGGGGACGCTGAAGTCGTGCTTGCCCTGGGGTCACCCCCCTGCCTCCGGAACGCGAGGGTTACCTGTCGGCCATCTCCCCGCGCCCCCAAATCCCGGGCAGCGGCTTGGACGTGGCCGGCAGTGCCCGTGGCTCAGTAACCCGTGGCCACGAGGTGGCAGCAAGTCCTGGCCGACGGGGCCGCAGCTGCGGCGGCTCCTGCGCGGGCCGGGCCGGCCGGGGGACCCGCGGGGACCCGCGGAGCCACAGAACGGCTGGGCTGGGCAGGGACCACCGCAGGTCATCCAGTCCACCCCACCCTGCTCAGGCAAGGTCTGCTAGACCACGTCCACCCTGGGGGCTTTGCAATACGGTGACGGTGGCCAGTGCACCTCAGAACATCGTGGCCAAAACCCCAGAATGGCCAAAAGCATCAGCGGTCCATTAGCAAGAATGCCTCAGGTGTGGGTGCAGAGGCACAGCCACGGGTGCCAGCATGGCTCTGGTGTGGGCAGAGCTACTTGAAATAGGCTCTTCATTCACCTGGAGCATTTTAGAAGAGGCAGCCAAAATTCTGGCTCTCTGTGGTTTGTATTTATCCAGATGGTTATGCAAGTGATAGATTTTGCCCCAAGGGAGGCCCCAAGAAGAGGCTCGTAGATACTAAAATTTTATGTCCTTTTCATGGCTGCAGGGTTGAGGGGTAGTCAGTTGCACTATAAAGCTTTTAGTATTTTTGTAGACTACTTATTTATTTAAGCTCTAGGGATATTTAATCATAGAGCTTATGATTTTATTTCATTACTACTTTGCCTGCAAAAAGAACAATATGAAATCTCATGCTCGTTCTAAGTCTTCTAACTTAGTATGGACATTATGGCTTCACAACCCTAGAGAAAGTTACAGAGAGAGAAAAGTCCACTAATTTCAAATAAAGCTATTACAGCTTTAGTTTTACACTAAATAAACTGAGTGGTTTCAGCTTGGAATAAGACAGAGCTCGGTGCATAAGCAGTAGCCTCTTGTGTACCAGGAGCATGTTTCTACCATGTTTGAAAGGCTTGTAAACCTTTCAGGATCCTACCCAAGGTGGATCCTCGGAGGGTACAAATGCTTGTTTACTGCTCTGAGTACTTGGGCAGTGAGGTTGCAAGCATGTGATCTCTCCCCTCTCAGTCCCATGCTGCCAAGAACTGCCCGAGGAAGGATTTGGAGGAGTCCTAGGTGCTATTCCAGCAGCTTAGCTTACTTTGGGTATCTGGTAGTGACCTGGTGTTTGCATAGGTAAATCAGGATGAAATCTAGGAATTTAAGTGTTTAGGATGTGGCTTTTTGGGTGTGAAGCAAACTGGTGCATAGAGGAGAGGGAAGGGCTGGATTTCAGGGTCATGGGTTCATTTGGCTGACAGAAGCTTGTTATATGTTACGGCCAGAATTTCCTTACCTCTACACTTAGAAATCAGCTGACACCTCCATTTGGCTTTTGTCACCCTTCTTAATCAAGCTATTCCCTTTAAAGCTCTGTGTTTCTAAGGGGTGTGAGGCTCTGTGCCTCCATCATCCTTGCTGCCTGATTACCCTTGGATGTGGGCATTTCTTTCCCCTTGCAAGGCTGGAACAGGGAACCTGTTCCTGTGTTGTAGAGAGTGGAAGGGTGTAGAGGCAGTGATGCACCTCACATTGTGCAGCACTATGGTAGAGACTGTAGGGTTGCATCCCCTCCTCCTGAATCCCAAGACAGGTATCTTCAGCCCTTTGTTGATATTTCTCACCTGTTTGCCTCTTGGAAACATCCAGAGATAGGTTTGGGACACATTTTCCTCATGGTTTGGGACAGCAGTGCTAGCTCAGCTTTGTTACCAGGCTGTGCTCTGACTGCAGCCAGTCCCTGGAAGGGACTAGTTATCCCCGTGGTGTGCCAGGCTGTTACCAGTCCTGACAGGGAGGGAGGAGAAAGTCTGAGAGGTATCCCAAAACATACCCAGGTGGTTTGTCAGCCCAGTGGCCTTTCTTTCCAACACTAATATTTGTTTGGCTTGACAGAGGTAGTCAGAGACCAGAACTGCTGGCTGGGTGGGTGTTGAGTGAAGCCTTGCTGTGTCCTTGTGTCTCTAGCCTGCTGCAAATTATCCTCCTGGCTCAGCTGTACATCTTTGGCTCCAATATCCAGGCTCAGCCATCAGCTAATCCTAGGTGTTTCCCAGAAGAGCAGGCAGCAGGACCCCAGCAAACAGGTGTGGCATAACTGGCTCCCATACAGCTCTTGTCCCTCTCCTTCCTCCTGCAGCAGCTGGGGAAATGACTGGGGTGCTTTGAATATGGTTAAGGACAAGTCTCTTCTAACACTGCACTCTGCTCTAGTAACAAATGGTGTGTTACCCCAGGAGAAAAAGACAATGAGATTGGCATGGGAAAGGAAAGGCCTTTGGAGTGATGGCGCCAATGTTTCTGACTGACCTGGCCTTTTCTCCTGCCTGCCCTTGCCAGGCCAGGGGAGAGGGAGGCAGGGTGGCCTTGCAGATGACAGTGCTCTTCAGGAATCTCCTGGCATACAGCTTGACACTGTCTCTGGGTCCTTGGGAACCTAGGACAGGCTCCTGGCACTGTGTTTCGGCAGTGCCCTTTCTGTGTAGAGTGGGACATGTGCCAGTCCAATACGAAAAGCAGAAATTATGCCATCAGTGGCACCCACAATAGTACCTGACCCAAAATAGCTTCCTAGAAAAAAACAAGGAGGCTGATTAGGTTAGACAAGCCTGAAAGAGAGCAAGATGTCCAGTTAATGACTGACAGGTGTAGGTCTGTGAACAGGGGCTATAAATCCCAGGGGCGAGCTCTCCAGCTACCCTTTGGGGAAAGGCAAGCGACTGCAGGGAGCGCTCAGGATCCGCCTTCAGTGAACCATGGGGCTCAGTGACCAGGAATGGCAGCAGGTCCTGACTGTCTGGGGAAAGGTGGAGTCTGATCTCGCCGGCCATGGGCACATAATTTTAATGAGGTAGGCAAGAAGCTTCTGTTCTAAGAGTAAAGCTGCGAGCTTTTGATGAGAGACATGTTTGTCAGTGTTTATTTCAACAAGCTGTTTGCTTTCTTGTATGGTAGTGGGTTTTCCATTGCTGTGGTTTCTGGGTTAAAAGTTACTCACTGTGTAAAGTGGCTGTGCTTCTGTCTCTCCATCTCTCTATGGGTGCAGGAGCAGGCCAGTGTTGCTTTTAAAAGATGGTGGTGCTTTGTCCCTCTGCCTCTGGTGGCTAAGCTTTGCTTTGGATCCCCATTTCCCAAGCACTACAGTAAGAAATGCTGGAGAGAATTGTATGTCATGGGTCTTCAGGTGCTCTGCAGCAAGGATATGGGGAGGCAGGGAAGGAAATGAGAGGAAAATCACATCTGTGAAAATTTTCTTGGAATTTACTATTTCAGTAAAATTGTCTGTGAAGTACCTGAGTGTTTCCCTTTCCCCACCTTAGTGTCACCTGGCAGAGCCCTGTTCATCCCACTTTCTGGCCAGAAATCTGTGTGGTGACACTTGTATATTACCTTATGATGAAGGTGTGTGAAATGAAGCACATCCTTCCCCCTGCTTCCCTCCTCCATGATTCTGGTGTCAGAGCAGGAGTGCTCATAAAATCTCCATCCAAGAGGACACCAAACTCCATGAGATCCTGGCACCCTGACTGGGGAACACCCAGATACTGCAGAGTGGGAAACAACATTAGGTGGGCATTGGAGATTAGCTTATCCTTTAAAGATCAGCAGGGATGGAGACTTTGAGGAGATTCTCTTCAGATCTTGCCTCAGACTGTGCACAGTCCAGTGTACTGGAAGGGTACAGAAAAGGCCAGGACAGTCAGTAGCATTGGCTCCATCACTCCAAAGGCCTTCCCTTTCCCATGCCAATCTCATTGTCCTTTGCTCCTGGGGATATGGCACCTGCTTGGGGGCTTTTCTACCCTAAGCATGGCTAAGGGAAGGAGTCCACACCATCAGGCATATTGACTGAAGAGCTCTGAAAACCTTTTTTCAAAGATGAGACAAAGCAGGAAGCTAGTTGGATGGGTTTAGGGCAGTGTCTCTGTCACAACCAGAGGGACTTGGAAATAGGCAATGGTGATCACATTAGGACATGTGTAAGAAGATGGGATTACAGTAGATTCAATATTCAAAGGGAAGTATGTCAGGAGCTTCTGCTCTCCAAAGACAAGTCCCTCTACTTTTGTCCACAGACTCTTTCAGGACCACCCTGAGACCATTGAAAAGTTTGAAAAATTCAAAGGCCTGAAGACCCCTGATGCGATGAAAGGCTCTGAGGACCTGAAGAAACATGGAGCTACTGTTCTTACCCAGCTGGGAAAAATCCTGAAGCAGAAGGGTAATCACGAGTCAGAGTTGAAGCCCCTGGCTCAGACCCATGCGACCAAGCACAAAATCCCTGTCAAATATCTCGAGGTATGGAAAAGAGCAAGGAATCTTGGTGTCTGATGTGCAGTGAATGTGTGTAAGAGAGCTATGTGAGAGCTGTGCTTTTATTTACCAATGACTAGTTGGACTTCAGTGAGTTCTCCCTCAAGATCAAGGTCTCTGTGTACAGGCAGTAGGAGGCACAAAAAGGGGTAATGTTATGCGAATGTTATGTGAATATCCAAGTTTAGATTTCCCATTCCAAACACCACACACAGTCTGACTAACCCTTGACAACAATAAACCAACCCATGCAGCCTCTGCATGCCTGGGAAGCTGTATTACATAAGACCTGTCAGTGGCTGGACACATGGGACATACAATTTTAGAGCAAGCCCTAGAGGATCCATTGGAGACCGAAACCCATAAAACTAAGTGTTATACAAACACACGGCATGAATTTTTGTTCTTAATGGATGAGGCAGACAAAAAGTGGGAAGGGCCATGGTCTGCTCAAGGTCATGAAGCAGCTCAGCGTCGGAGCTAGGAATAGAGCCCAGTTCTTGTGCCTAGCCCAGGTTCCTTGCATGCTAAACTTCACTGTCTCTCCAGAGACTGCACAGAGGGCTACTGAATTAGCTCAGAGATATTTCCAGGCTCTGCAACCTATTTCTTAGCCTGGCTTTTCTGAAAATAAACCTTGAGTGTCCCTTCAGTTTTTCTCTCTCTCTTTCCTTCCTCACAGTTCATTTCTGAAGTCATTATCAAGGTCCTTGCTGAAAAACATGCTGCAGACTTTGGGGCTGATGCCCAGGCTGCAATGAAGAAGGCCCTGGAGCTGTTCCGAAATGATATGGCTGCCAAGTACAAGGAGTTTGGTTTCCAGGGTTAGCACGTGTGCACAAAGGAACACCGTGATGGAGACCTGGCCAAGCATCTTAGATAGCTTCCCCAGCACTGTTTTGGACATCTCACAACTGGCCATCCATGATGTTTGGGAAAGCTTTGATGAGAGGCCAAGAGTCACTCCAGGCAGCATAGAGGCACTCAGAGTGATATCCATGATAAACTGTCATTTCCTGGCTTCATGTATACAAAAGAAATAATCTGCTTTCTTAGGAAAAATAACGTTAGGGGTTATTTTGGAGCTTCTGCCTATGCTATCTCCTTTCTCTTTTTCCCTCCCTGAAACTCAGTCTCATCTGAGGCAAATGGCATGGCCAGAGATGAAGGGATGTGGAGGAAAAAGGGAAAGGAAGTGTTGAGTGTGGTGAATGAAAGAGTGAAGGGATAACCCAAATGAAAGTTATGTGAGGATGGCAAGTAAGGACACAGATTCCCATTCTTCCCACAGGTGAGTCTGTTAGCAGGTTACTATGGAGAGCTTCCAGCACAGTATTACTTTGCTTTGTGAGGGAGAATGCAGCCAGTCAGTCTCCAGGGCCTGCCAGCTCTGGAGGGTTTAGCTGTTAAACTCGCATTAGGAAAGCTATAAAGAGCAGTACTGCCTATGATCTGTACGTTTCTGGCAGCCGCCACTATGTATCTGAAGGGTTGTTGCACTGGGAAGTAAAGTACTTGTTTCTCAGAAAATAAAAATCCCTGCACCAGTGTTGTGTGTTTGCTCCTGGCTTTACAAACACTCCAGTGAGAAGTGGGGAAGTAGGAGAAAGTGGAAAGGGGTTTTGCCTACTTATCTGGCTGCACTGCCAGATCCCACACTGTCAGTCCATGACCTGAGCAGCACATGCCATCTGTCTTAGCTGGGGGCTCAGGGCACTCAGATGTCACCATGTGGACATGACCTGGTTACCAGACCTCACAGGTCAAAAGAGCAGCTTAGGCACAGTGCCTTGGAGCTGAGAAGTACACCCTGATTGAAGGCCATGGCCACTGCTGTGCTGGGTAGACGTGGTGAGGGAGAGTCCTTTGCTTATTTGTGGGGAGGTGACACGTGCAAGCAGCTTCAGCTTCTAGCAACAGGACAGTGCATTGCTCCCTCCAGACACAGGAAAGAAGGACTGATTAGCTCAGGAGGGAGGCTGCAACACCAGCATATCCTCTTGAGACTCAGCCTTTGATCTTTGTAGCCTTTTGAATTTTTGCTGAGGTGCGTCTGCAGTGCACGCTGCACTGTGTTTGCAGATGTACACCCACGTCCTGTGGTGGACTTAAGGGACAAACAGAGTGGCAAGATGCCTCCCTCTGCCTGTTGCCCTCTCCCCATCTTGATATCACTGGTTTTGTGGTCAGGGGAAATGTGTGTAGGTGACACCGCTGCTCTTTTTTGGTGTGGAGAAAGTATTGCGCCTTATCTCACTGAGACAGTGTGAGGGCAAGCACAAGAAAGAAAAATGACGTGGTCGGTAGCAGGGGCTCCTAGCAGGACCTGGTTCAAAGTACCCCCTACTACACTCTGTGCAGTGGAGACAGAGGAGCCGCCACTGGCTCCCTTAAAAATCAATCCTGAACCAGCATGAACTGCTGCAGATTTGGCCAGGGAAAAGGCTCCAAAATTTCAGTCTCTAAAAGGAGAAGGAATAATAAATTCCTTCCCAGAAGAGTGCATCTCTGATTTCTTGCTGTTTACAAATCCTCACTTTACCTCTGGGAGCTTGCTTGGGGTTTCAACCTTTCAGAGAGGGTCACAAAAGCATGTGCTGTCACCTAGATGAAGTTACAGCCAGGTGGTCCCTGGCTTAAGCAACGTGCTTCATCTGACTCCAGTCTAGTCTGTCTGGTTCTGTGGGGAGGGCAATGTATTTAATTAAGGTCTAGGACTGCTGTCCAACACAATAAGATTTTCTGCCAATGACAACAGACTCTGCTTTAGGATTAAAAACTCTGCTATAGCAGCTGCCTCTGTCAGTCTGAGTGGGACTATAGTTATCTAGATACTTTTTATGTAGGGCAATGTGGTGGAGGAGGGAGTGTTTGGTGTATGTCGTGCCTAGCTACCTGTTATTAGGTACGTGGACTAAACGTCAGTCCACTGGGAGCACTGACCCTTCTCTCTGCCTGCCTTACCCCACTGTGTTAGTGCAGTAGGGACCATCCTTAAGTCCACCCCACATCTGTGGGGACTGATGTAGGTTTTCTGGTTGTGTCTGTGTCTCAGTGAAGACGTACAAGCTGAGATGAACCAGCAAATTCAAATACCAATGACAGTGGTGCTATATCTAGCAGGCTCAGTGTGTTGGGATGTTTATGATGAAATCAACGTCAAAACTTTGCTACTCTGGCTGCTGGTTATGCTCTTGACTGAGTGCTGACATAACTGCAGTGAAAGGGCAGTAATTCCTACACAGTGGGTCATAAAGCTCCTGCAATGGCCTCTGCTTCAGGGACAGGGCAAGTTTCCAAGAAAAAAGGGGACGATATGGAAAGGATTTATTTATCTCCATGCTATATTGATTCAGAATCTTTGTTGGAGTCTCCTGTTCTACTGTGCTGCTGGCACGTAGAGCTTTTCTGATTCATATATGGGACAAAGTCCTTCAGTGGAGATAAACCATATCAGCATAAGCCCAGACATTTTCCTGCCTCCTTTCCAGGAATAGCTTTACATAAGGCAGATGGGTCCCAGAGACTTGTCCTCAGGCCCCCTCCCCGTTAGCACCATGTGGTGTCACATACACATTCCGGGTCACACGATGGGATGTGGATAGTGGGCTGCCAGCCTGCTTTGCTCCAGCACGTACATTCTGACTGCAGCCAGGTCAGGCTGCTCTCACTGCTGAGGTTTCAATTGCATGGCAGGGCTCACCATGGCACCGAGCCACTGCTCTGTCTGCGTTCTCTTGGGCTTTGGTGTCAGGCACCAGCCACTTGTCAGGATCTCAGATGCAGGGAGCAGGCCTTCACTTCCCAGACGCTGTGCAAGTGAGCCAGTCAGCCCCAGCCAAGGTACAACAACACTGCAGCCTGTGCTGCCTGTCCCCCTCTCTTTCCTTCTGCCTGCTGATCCTGCCTGACTCCAACATACCTGCCAACATCAAGTGGCATCACAGAACAGTGCTGGGGACCACACTATTAGTCCTGTGATCTGTCTCTTGGTCACCTCAGTGGGAGAAAGGGACAGGGTCCAATGACTAATTATGTTAAATATTTAGCAAATTATTATGAAGTTTCTGACATTCTTCATGTTTGCACCTCCCTGCAGGGCTAACGTGAGAAAAGGGCAGGGGAGTTTCCAGTCCACGTCATAGTCACTGAACAGATAAGTCTGGTTTCTGGGAATTGAAGCACAGACAGTGCCTTAAGGATGTAATGTCTATATAACATTAATTTAATAAGGAGACTCAAATGCACACCTATACCACGTGTTTTCAGAGGAGGATAATTTTTGGCATGATCCTTACATTTTCTACCACTTGGCCAAAACCTATCCTGTATGTTATGTCATTGAGGAGAAGAAATGGTGGAACCAGGTGTTTCTTTGATATTTGCATGCTTACCCATAATATTTTTTCCAGAAGGTGCATGGCATCAGAACATGTCCTCCTTCTTCCTGGACTGGTTCTTCTCAGGTTTGCTCAAGGTTGCATCCTTGCTTGTTCAGGCTGTGCAGGGCTTAACAACCAAAGCCTCTTCTACTTCTAAGCACACACACACACACACACATCTATATACAACCACCAGCTTCAAAACACACATTATATCAAAGCCCATCTGTCCAGATCCTTCAGATTCCAGTGTTCTTGTTTGCTAGTTCTTCCTTTGAGAGGAATTCTCATATCATGCTCAAACAAAGTACAGACTTGAAATGGCTAAGGTCTAACCAAGTGAGAAGACAGACCATGCAATGGATGTGACACCTGGAGAGTACTGGCAGGTAAGGAGCTGTGAAATTTCATGAAGGTGTGCCAACAGAGTACAGGAAGCCACCTGGAACTACAGTAAGTGAAAAAAGGAAATCCAGTCGACCTCTTTTATCCAACAGGCTACTAAAATGAGCATTTATGAACATGAAAGAGTCACAACAATGCAGCACTCTTGACCGGCACGTAGATCCCTCCCTCCCCTGTGATCATAGGCACAACAAGTCCATCTTCCAGTCCTGTGACTTCTATAAAATCCTTATCCAAATGCCAGTAAAGGTGACCTTGTGGCTTTTTAAAGCAGTACTTAATAGTCACTTGGCTGCACTGTACCAAAGTCCTTTCCCAGTTTGGCTTTTCATTCCATAAATAAATAAACAGAACAGGCTGCTCCCACCTTTCCCCCCAGCCCTGTGATGATCACCTGTGAAAAGCCAGGTCAGACAGGCATGTCTGGGGCTCTCTTGGGCAAGGAAAGCAAGCATAGCTGGTAGTTTTTGTGGAAAAAGCAATGTGTATTTGGGATGGGGAGGGTATTGGAGTCTCTATTCCTCCCTCTCTGTCCCAAGAAAGGCATCTCATGCTGAGAGAAACAGCAGTTCAGCCACCCTGAGCTGGCCAAATGGTCATTTGGGTTATGCCCATGCAAATGTGAGGGGGGACAGCCTGGATATGAGGCTATTTCACTTCATTTAAACACTGGCTCGGATGCATGTCATGGGGCTGTGGGGCTGGTTTACTGAATTTGCCCAGAGCTGCTGAGAGGAGGCTGTCGCTGGTATGGCTACTCTGCAGTCCAGCGGTAGACACGACCCCAAAACAGTTTTCCACTTAACTGCCTCAGGTATTAAAAATGAGTATGACACAGATATTCATGTCTAGGAATTTGTGGATTTCCCCAGGTTGTAAGGCTGAGAAAAGGGGCTGTAGCTACGCTATTACTGATAATCAATAGGGCTGCTTTAAAGCCAATACTGGTGTAAACATCTTAGCCGTAGCCTTATGTCTGGAGGAGAGCTTAAAGAAAATTATCCCTGTTTCCCATTTTCTCCCTCCAAGAAAAGCTTGGTATGAATGCAACTGCTGGGCACCAGATCTTATTTTAGATTGTCCTTAAAGGAGGTTCAAATGTTCAAGTGGCAGGATAGCTTTGGGTGGAAGACCTTCTGCGTTATTAGCACTTAGTTCTCCATGGCTCCGTGCTTAGCTTGGATCTCCCGTTACTTCCCAGTGCATTCTATTAATGGTGCTTTTGTTAAGGTTTTCTGTCTTCTGTCCTCCCTTAACATGCCCATCTGTTTCCTC